TTCTAGCCAATCCGCTAAGGTTTTCTATTAAGTTTTTTCATACGTGATGCTACTACTTGAAGCAAAATAGAGAACTTAAAATACTGTTATGGAAACATTATAAATTTAACATTGCAATGTTTAAACTTGAGAGTCACCAAGTGACCAGAGTTTAGGAAAAAAATTGTAAATATAATGCTTTAATTTTTTTATATACCTGTTTTTTTATGTAAATAAATTTGTAAGTACTATATATTTGTTTTTCAGTAGACGTGATGTTCAATAGAGTTGTTATTTTACGTAAAATAGTGGAAGGATATAATTTGATGCGATTGTTTTCTCATTCGTTAAAAGTAATCGAGTGAAAAACTATCGAACTAAGCTTATTTTCACTGCTCACCGTTTGAATTCCGGTGCTCTCGTTATAGTATTTGCTTGCAAAACAAAATTACAAATGCCATGGGCATAATATAACGTCGATTTCTAGCAATCACGTGTAATCCTCAGGGATCCAATTAATCCGGTACTATCGAAATCTTCTCGAGCGCGTAAATACGCTCGAATAAATCCCAGTGGATTGCACTGTATGTGTATTCTTAGGGAGTGAATTGAATCACATGCACCGGTTTTATTTTTATTATTATTTTATTAATAGGGATAATTCTTGGGTTATAACATTTCAGGGGATATAATAATAATTCTGGGTTGATTGAATGAATTAATTACTTGATTCAATTTATTTTGTTTATTCATATCTGGAGAAATTGTAGGGGTGGTGAAGGTGGAGTATTTTTTGTTGGGTTGCCGGGGATATTTCCGATCTCAAATGCTTCAATTCGCTCTATTTAATATTAATTTAATAACGGATTCATAATCCTTAATAGGTAAAATTGGATTTTCTTCTGCGATTGGTGATTTATCTCGGTAATGACTAGGTTTTAGAGGGGAAGATTTCCAGTATAATATACATTTTGACATTTTATAAAGTCACTCATTATAGAGACAGTCCACGAATTAGCGCATTGAGAAAAAAAGAGAAACCGAAGTGAAAGATTTTCTCATTGGTTCAATTTTGTTTGACTTTGTTTAACCTTGTTTATTTTTAAGACTTCAGGCAAAAAAGCCCATCGAAGCCTGCTAGAAAAAGTATACAAAAATATGTATATATATAACTTTTCTTCACACGAAAATCAATCATTAAAATATTAGATTAGATTAGATTAAAGTTGCGGATGGTCGGGCTAGCTTTCCTTATGCCACCGAACTCAATTTTGAGTTATTGTAGCTCATCATTGAAATATAGAAATAAAGAAAATTTAGTTTATTATTTTGGTAAATATCTGTGGCGTTGAAAGGGGTGCGAGAATGGTGTATTTTTCTTTGGACTGCCAGGGAAATTTCCGGTCTTAAGTACTACAAGTGATTCTATTTTGCTCTAATAATTCCAGAGATATTTATTCGATCGACCGGGATTAATCATGATGCGTAAAATTGGATTTCTTTTCGCCATTTTTTAGGCATTTCGGTAATGAGTGAGTTTATGAGAAAATCATCATTGTAGGAATCAAAGGTAGTTGTGTCGGGAAGTCACGCACGAAAAAATTTAATAGAAAAACCTATCGAATTCGTTAGAAAATTCTATTGAATTTCTACTAGTTTTTGGCTGATTCTAGTGACATGTTCAATAGAAAACATTCAATAGAAAAAGTCAACAGAATTCGATTTTTCTATATAACTTATTCTTTTCATATATTTTCTATAGAATTTCCTCGACTCAAATTTTCTAAGTTTTTTTTCATTCTATTTTTCTTTTCTTCTCATCAAGAAAATCAAACGAAAAAACTTGAACCGAGGAAATTCTATAGAAAATATCTCAATAGAATAAGTTATATAGAAAAATTGAATTCTATTGACTTTTTCTACTGAATATTTTCTATTGAACATTTCAAATAGAATCAGCCAAAAACTAATAGAACAGTTCAATAGAAATTGAATCGAATTTTCTAACGAATTCGATAGGTTTTTCTATTAAATTTTTCGTCCGTAGTACAACAATCCACTACTTAACAATACGTTTAACTTAATTGTTGTTTATTCAATCGCGTCTAGAAGTATATACAAAAGTGAAAATGTCATGTAGAAATAAAGTCGGATGATCGACTAAGTATTCGGCAGTCAGCGCCAGACTGAATTCGTATTCGTAATCGGATCAAATATTACAAACCCTGGCGATTTACCTTCTACGGAATAGCGTAGATGTTCCGTAGATGTTCCGTAGATGTGCGTAGATGTCGATTTTTGGGCAAAAAACCCAGGGAAAGTGCCAAAATATCTTGTAAATATAATTTGAATATTAATTCATTAACAATTAATGACCGCTGGCACTAATTAATGGCGTATTTCCCCCTAATTAATGATAAATGTTAGGGGTCAGTGAAATGTCACTACAACGATAGGTGGGGGGGATTCTGCGAGATGGCGCCATTGACGACTTCGGTTGAGTCGGTTGAGTCGGGATCCTTGCAGCAGTCGCAGGCCCGCTGCCTGCCGGATCAGTTCATAGGGGGACGGTTATTTTTCATTCAATAGGGGGAGGGTAGTCACCCGTTTTCCGGAATATCCCTCGTGGAAATGAAAATTTTGTTTTTACAGGTAANGGTAGCGTGTGACGTGTTGTATGCGTACGGGACACAGGTGTCTGTGTCCCGGTCGACGCTAGTCAACACGAGCCCTCGTGTTCAGATGTAACGAGTCGGTACACTGACAAAAACAAAGGTTTTTGAGAAATACGTCTTTACTTATATCAAGAAACTTCTGACTTGAAAATTTTCAGGAGTAAAATATCTTGCACTAAGAGAGAAAAAACTTTTGTGAAATAATTTTGTACTTGTCCTAAAAATGGGAACAATTTCTTGATGATAAGAAAGCAATTTCTCAAATCAAGTAAAATTGAATTATTTCATTTTATAGTTTTTCAACCTCAATTCTAAAAATTTTTAATGCAAAAACCATCTGAATTGATTTGAGAACTCGTCTTCGTGATATGAAGAAATTGTCCTCATCTTTCGAACAAGTTTAAAACTTCTTGGAGTGAGATTTTTTTTTCTTAGTGTGATATATTGTGGGCTTGGTAATTTTCAAGACAAATTTCTTGATACAAGTAAAGAAGTACTTCTCAAAAAATACTTGTCTTCTCACTGTAGACTCATGTCTTTTTTTGTGGGACCGTTAAGAAAATCTTGGTGAGACTGTTAGGGGATCTCCTGAAAAAAATCCTGGTGAGGCACCCGCGAAATGTCCTAGGTAAAATTCTGATGGGATTCTTAGGGACTGTCCACCAGGCTTTTTCTAGGACATTTCCCAAGTGTTCCAGTAGGATTTTACCAACGATATTCCCATTTGTCCTACACATTTCCAGATTTTTACCCAGGAAAATTTTTTTTAGTATTGCAAAATATCTGTTCAGGACTTTCCAGGAGTTCATCTGTTAAAATTGTGATTAGTTTCGGTGAATTTCAGGATAGTCATGGAGGGAAATTAAATGCAGGTTGAACGGCAGGTTTTAGGAACAAGAACTCCGGAATTAGGCCTGAGCCAAATCAATTTGTTCACTAAAATACTGTGCACGTTGAGATCACAAACAAATTAACCGATGAATTTCTCAATTCACGATAACTGTCCTGTTGATTGTTTATTTCACACGCGTTGAATTTCGGTGAAGGTACAGAGATAGTTGTACAATAAACAAACAAAAATAAAGATGACATTCGGTGACTCGACTATTAAATATTCGGATAAAGTTTTCAAAAATTGAATGACTCGATGATTGACAAGATAAATTTCCCGGTGATTTTACGATGATAATTTACACAGATGATTTTCCCACACTTGATAGGTTCGACTGGTGATGAATTACTGACTGAAAATCGGGAGGCGAATTGATACCTCTCGGATGAACTCGGTTCTCGGCCAGGGTTTCCAAATACCCTAGGCAACAAGTCAGAGAGGTCCGAAATTCTTCCCGAAATAGGACAGGATTTCAAACACCATCTATCGCTAAAAAGCCGTAAAAGTTGTTCTGAATCATCCTGCATATTTCCCATTTTTCATCATTCATATTTTGTTCGAGAGATAGTATATTTCAGGGCGAGCGCTGTGGAGTTTTCTACTCGCATAGTTGGCCAGTCTTTGCCTTCGGCTCGAAGCTCGCCAACTGCACGCGAGTAAAAACCCGATGGCGCTAGCGGTGAACAATATTATCCATAGTGATTTTCACTTTTACGAGTTTGGGGAAGCGCCAATACCAATCCCCAGACGAGGAAAAGTGAAGGTGAGTACGAAAAAAGAATTTTCAAATGTTATTTCAATTACTATCGATCGATACCTTCTGGGACTGGGAAAAGTGAGGGTCAGTACGGAAATCGTTTTTTCCGGGCTGCTGTGATGGAGTTTTTCACTCGTGTGGCGTTGGAGTCCGAGCCGAAGGCGAGGACTGGCCAACCACACGAGTAAAAAAAACCCCATCGCAACAGCCCGGGACAAGATTTTTTTGTAGTGGTTTTCAAGTTTTCGAGTTTGGGAAGTATGCAATACCAATTCCCAGACGAGAAATCGTGAGAAGCGGTACCGAAAAAGAATTTTCAAATGTTATTTCAATTACTATCGATCGATACCTTCTTTTGTTAAATTTTTCCAATTCATTTTATTTGCTAACTATAACAGCCCTGATAGAAAGGGAACTCTTCGGCCGTAACTCATTAATTAGATTTCGATCCACTTTTGAAGGGAATATCTGAAAAAGTTGAAAGGATGCTTGACAAGGGTATTTCCAGGAAAATTGTAGAGCTCAAAGGCTGCTATTAACTCTATTTGCCTCAAATAATTCCAGAGGTATTGATTTAAACTTGCATAAATGGGAGAGGAAATTTCCAACAGATGGGACATTTCCATCCAAAATCACTCGTCACGATGTTAATTAACAAATTATGAACTAATTTTGAATATCACCGAAAATGTTGCAGTCCTTATCGACCCAGGGATTATTTCAACGACAGCACAGCCTCGCCAGGGGGTTCTCGAGGCACCGGCTACGTCTACGATCGGCCCGAGACGTCGACCAAACCAGATACGACAGAGCGTGATCAACCAACTAGCGCACCACAGACACAGGATAATAAAGTGTACAAGGATTGAGTCATCACTCAGAATTAACCTGAATGGCTCGCTAAAATAGACGATTTATGAGAGGCAACAAGACCTCCCTCCTGAAAAAAATTGTTTTTGTGTATTTTTTTTATAATATAAAAATTGAAATCAATGTTCAAATACTTAATTAGGTAATTAAGATTGATGAATTTGAGGGAGAATCATCTTATCAAGTTCTGATAGTGCAATGACCTGAAGTGAACTAATGAGATTATGAATAAAATCTTGATAATTGAGAGAATTGGAAGAACATTTTTGTTTATCGGGTGAAAAACTTACCTGAAGTGAAAATTTGAATTCAGTAGTGGAAGATCTTTCAATTCTTTCACTCCGTTGTATTGAAGTATTTCCACTTATGAGGAGAAAATTCCTCTAAAATTGAGAGAAGGAGGTTTTGATTCACAACAATTTACGCTTGGATCTAGTATATTTTCTATTATTTCATATCCAGGCTCTTGAATTAAGAGCATTCTCCTCCTGAAGTTGATGGCTTTCCCGGTTTTTAAATTAAATATCTCATGTTTATAAATCATTTGTTATTTAAAGCATATTACCAACATGTACCAACATTTACTCAATTGCTACTGAATTAATGTTGAATTATTCCTGAATTTTATCTCTTTCGGATGGTACCAGTTTCAGAACGCCAAGGTTTATTTTAACACCTCAATGGTTCTTGATTCAAGAATCGAACAGTTTTTTAGTTGAAAACTTTTCTCATTTGAAATAAGTTTTTTGGCCTATGGTACTGAATTTTACGAAATTTTTTCTGGAAATAAACGACCAGTTCTGTATTCTCAGAACAATGCCTTCTAGAACTATGATTTTTTTTAAAACCATAAATTGGTCTTGGAAACTGGAAATCTTAGCAAAAACTACGCAGTCCTACAGAATTCCGGCTTTTTTCGGCACAGGGATTAGACTGCCACTACTAGAAAGATTTTTGCACGCTGATTTTAAATCCGCCGGCCAAATCTCATAAAATGACCTTTCTAAGAAAAAAATGTTAAAGTCCTCAAAATGGTCTAAAATTGCGTTTTTCAAGTTTTAAGGATGTTAGCCAAAACCCACATTATTGACCATAATTTTCATATTGTCTCATATGCCAGGTTCATATTTGAGCCGCACGTTAGCAATAATCTTAATCCTTCCATCAGGGCATCTAGTGAGAAATTAATGTCTGAAAATCACTTGTAATATTACGCCTAGGGAAGAAATGTGACCGTGTGAACTTTGATCGAAATGTTGCATGGGTTAGACACTCAAGATATTGAAAAAAAACACAATCCGTTTACTTTAGACTGTGCAGAATTTATCGTCGGCGAGAACAAGTAGGGAACCGGGACATATAGGCGTGATATCTTCGATTGATTTTCAAATTCCTCTAAAAAAAATTTGACCGCCATTACGAGTCGAGCAACGCAACAATACCACATGACAGCTGATCGAGGTCGGTAAAGTCGGTGACGATAATTCAGTGCTGGAAGCATATGGACACGTATAATACACACAAACATTCATCTCACTGTTACAATACCACTACTAGCCGAAGCGTGCGATGTTGCCTGATCGAAAATCGACTGTTACCACTGCCGTCACAAGTCCTTCATTATCTATGAACATTTTATTTAATTATTGTTTTTGTGACCGGAAAAATACACCATAACACTTCTAATTTGATGAGAAGAATAATTTGTAATATAAATAATTTATTTAGTCAATTTTATTTTCCAGCGTGCAAAAATCTTTCTAGGGGTGGCAGCCTCATCCCTGTGCCAAAAAAGCTGGAATTTTGTAGGACTGCCCTGCAAAATATATTTTTTATGAAAAATGAAAAAGGTTTCCTGACACTTTTCTGTGGACTTTAAGCTGAAGTAGTTTCCGATATTTGGATAAAATAATTGAAATCATTTCTTCCATCACTTCACTGCAAAATCAATTACTTCATGAGTGAATTTATCATTAATTAATTGCTATTTTCACTTCAGGAGAATCTCGTCCCCAATATCTATAGAATAAGGATTTGATTTGTACTAAAATGACAATTTAGTGAATAAATAAATGAATGAAAAACTAAATAAACCACCAAGCCCCAAGTTTTCCATTTTTTGAAACCTTCAATGCTACCCAAAACTTTCCAGCTATTGTTATTTACTTCAGACTTTCGTGTGGCCATTTAATTATCCCCCGGCACTTCCGCAGAAGCAGAAAACGCGATAAACTCCAGTGCCAAATTTACACGGCTCTCTCGCTACTTACTACTTTAATTTCAAAGTCCGACAGCGGGAGTTTTGTTCCGGTCTGGGAGCAGCTTGGCCCCGTCCCGCTTTACCCACCCTCCGAGACATTGGAAATTAATCCCACCCCCGCCCCTTCACCTCAGCAATATGTCCCAGTGTTCGGCATGGGCGTTTACCAAGTTTCTAGTCTTGTATAAAGTTCAGTGGGGGTGGGGTAAAGACCCACAGAAATTTATGTTTCGAGTTTGGGAACTATCATATACTTATTGATTTTAATCCCATGAGCTGCATATTAATTTCAAAAATTTATACCAATTTTCGGGGCTAATTGTTTCTTGATGGATTAAAATTCGTCAAAGGTATTTAGTTCTTTAGTAAAAAAAAAATATAAATGATTTATTTAGTCCATTTTCTTTTTCTTTTGAATTGAGTTTTGCACTTGATAGGTTAAACATCCTTAAGTTAAGTTAAGTTAAGTTATGCATGTGGAGGGGGGATGGCTAGCCTCCCCGGTGCCACCGAACTTTTTAAGTTATTGTAGCTCCGCCTCTACTGAAGTACGTTATTATATTTGCAGCCCAGCCTTGATGACCAGTCTCAATATATCCGCGACTTCTTTGCTTGCAAGCTGATCGACTGTAGTGAAAGCAATTTCCCAGTAGCGTACGCTTAGCACCACCAGTGCTGGACAGTCACACAAAATGTGCAAGCTGTCCTCTTTTGTTTCATTGTAAAATCTGTACAGGTCATCGTCGCCTATGCTCATCGTCTTGCAATGTGCCGTCGATGTCCAGTAAGGAGTCTGATGATTGTACTCAGTGTGCCTCTGTCCATGGTCAGTAATCGAAGGATTAAATTATGTAAGAAAAGTATAAAAAAAACTTAAAACTAGAAAAGTGAAAATTGATAACCTCCAACGATAAAGTTGTCAATTGACTTATTTGAAAACTGAAAAACCAAAAAAACAGAACAATTGAGAAACTGAAAAATTGAAAATTAAAAATCTCCGACGGAAAAGTTTTCAATGGAATTATTTAAAAATTGAAAAAGGGGTAAATAAAAAACTGACAACTAGAAAATTGAAAATTGAAAACCCCCGTCGAAGCGATTATCCTTGAGTAGTCTAAAAAGAGGAAAATAAAAACTCAAAATTATAATTAGACGAATTTTAGGGAAACTGAAATTTCTTTTGTAACAGAAGAAACAGCAGAAAAAAGTCGAGGGGACACCAACATTTTCGTGACTCTATGTGTGAAAAAAATTTCAGTTTCTCTAAAATTCGTCTAATTAATATTTTGAATTTATATTTTTCTTTTTTCAGGCTACTCAAGGATAATTTTTTCGTCGGGGGTCCTTAATTTTGAATTTTTTGGATTATAATAGGTAGGTATAACACAAACAAAATTGCAAGCGGCTGCATCTTCGACACAGCTGTAATTGTACGTGAATACGTCTATGGTTTTTCCTTAATTCTCGAATTTCCTTGAAACTCCTTGCACTCCCTCGAATTTTCTGGAAATTCCCTGAATTTCTTCAAAATTCCTAAATACTCCTTGAATTTTTTCGGAATGTCAAGAAACTTCTCGAATTACCTCGAAATGTCTAGAATTTCTTAGAATTCCGATAGATGGCGCTGCACATAAGGACCGTTTCCCAAAATGACCCCCCACATTGAAACCGAAAACGTATCCGCGTCAATGTCTAGACTGACATTACCACTGCACCAGATATTTACACTCTTTACTTTATACGATGTTGACTCTTTGATTGCCAATTTACGACTGATGGCGGAGCGTGCCGATCCGCCTTTTATTGGGAATTTTGAATCTAGAAATTTCTACACAGGGAATTTCTATGACTAACAACCTATCGGTATCTTACTGATGGATCGACGGTTGGTAATGTATCGACAGTCAGCGTCGCCGATAGATGGCGCGGCTGCATAACCATTTTTTACCGAATGACCTCCCAAAACGAAACCATAGACATATCCACGTCAAAAAAATCAGAAACTTAAATTTGAAGGATTACAATTTTTCCATTCGAAAGCCAAACATGTGCTATTAAATTTGTTTCTTCATTCAATTAATAATTAATGGAATACGATTTAAACTTGACAACTCACCTTCCAAGTTCTATTCCCCCTCCTCGCCGCGTTCCTTTCGCCAATAACTGAGATGCAATCAGAGTGGAAACTAGGAACCAGTGGAAGAACTGGAATCTAAGTCGAGCAGTTGCGGTGCAGGCGGGTGAGAGTCTTTAAGAATCAAGATTTAAATTGAGTTTGGATTTGATTGAAGCGTCCCAACGACCTCCAACACCACCACCCCACGACTTCCGTCGCCCCACCTCAGCATCCAACGTGGAACGAAATTAGCATTTAGATCGCCCAATTCTGAGGGAGTTGTTTTATGATTCCGAGGAAAACCCCCAGCTTTTGGAGATGGAAGAAAGGAATGAAGAGCAGGTGGAGGACATTGCAAACGGGTTTCCTTTGTCGCAGTGCATTCCTGCGATTTCTATTAACTCGGAGAGTTTTGAATTTTCCGAAGAGTTGAAATTTGTTTTGCGATGCATTTGAGTCTTCGGAATTTGTTGGTCTTTCGCGGGCGGCTGACGACAATGGGACATTACTACTGAGGATTGGGTGATGGGAATTGATGCTTCAATCGTTTTTAAAGAAATTTTTTTCCTCTTGTATTTTCATTTTAATTAAATCAATAAGCATCACTTTCTCACCTAAAATAGTCCCCTTGAGACAGTAAAAACCAATAATAATGATGAACGTAAAAT